GGGGGGCGCGTTGGCGCTGGGCTCCGAGCACCCGGTCCAGGGCTCCGGTGCTCCCGTGGCCGTGCCTGGCTCCCAGATAGGAAATGGAAACTCGGGCACTCCTCCCCGGCGAGACGGCCGTAGCCCTGTCACCTCACTGTGGAAGGGTCTGCAGACGCTGCGATCCGAGGGAGTCCAGAACGTTTGGGCCCCCTGCATCAGCGGGGCGCGTTGGCGCTGGGCTCCGAGCACCCGGTCCAGGGCTCCGGTGCTCCCGTGGCCGTGCCTGGCTCCCAGATAGGAAATGGAAACTCGGGCACTCCTCCCCGGCGAGACGGCCGTAGCCCTGTCACCTCACTGTGGAAGGGTCTGCAGACGCTGCGATCCGAGGGAGTCCAGAACGTTTGGGCCCCCTGCATCAGCGCCTCTACTGGGTTTGAAAGCTGTCTTAGGCGAGGTTAGCGACCTGGACTTAAGGGGTTGTTTATTGTAATCTGGAGCTGGGTTTAAGAAGGCCTGGTGTGTAGATCCCTGGATTTTTAGTCCCACAATGTTTTCCTTAATCCTCACCTTACAGTATTCCCCAGTTTCAAGCTATTACCACCACCATTGTAGTTTAGGCACTGGTAACTTGAAAGCTCAAAGTGCTTTTGGCTGTGAGGGCTTTGTGGGAGTCTCTGATAATTGTATGATAAAGACCAGTCTAAGAATTCCTGTCCCACAAATATCTTACAGTCTATACCTGGACCCCAGACTCATATTTTTCGTTTTTGTCTTGTTTGTCGTCGTTATTAATCCTTTGAAAAGTACGCATTCTACAGTTGGTAGACCACAGTTCGGCTCCACTTCTGAGGTTTGAAATAAATGCATTTCTTTTTCATGTGGCAGTAGTTTACAAGCCACAAAAGCTTGAAGAGGTTTCTCTCCTTCATAGTTTTACTTTTTCAAGACTGTGCGGACATTTCAAAATAGCTAACAAATTATGCTCTGGAAAAGAGAGCCCCAAGGAATTTTGTTTGTTAATTGCATTGTTGGGGATTGAACTCAGGGTCTTCATACTAACTACATCCCCCCCATAGGTTCTTGCTAAGTAAATTGCCCAGGCTGGGATGGAGTTTTTGATCCTCCTGCCTCAGCCTCAGAATGCTAGGATTCTGCAGAATGCATGCCACCAGGTCCCTGAGTATCTTTTTGTTTGTCTTGGATATTTTTCCCCTATTAAAAAATGTTTTAGGGCCCGGGATTTAGCTGAGTGGTTCATCCACCTGCTTTGCAAGTGCAAGGCCCCAAGTTTTATCCCTGGTACCACAAAAACAAAAAACTTAGTGTCTTTGTCTAGTGTTCATAGCTGGTTTTATACTTGATTTCTTGGTGTTTGTGATTTATGTAAAAATCAGTGCTCAGATTAGTTGTCATCTTTGCTTTTGAAATAATTGTACCTTTCTTAAATACAGTGGGCTCTTGACTTAAGAAATTCATAGATTCCTGAGGGCTGGCTGTAACTCAGGTTGGTTGTAAGTCAGTACACCTGAGACCTGGATATTTACCTAGGTACCCGCTATAGTTAAAATAAGGCAGGTGAATCTTCCATTAACCTGATTAACCCAAGGCGAGGGTGCACTGTACTATGTAACTTTGAATTGCTGTGTTTCAAGTGGCTGATGACTTTTTTCCTTGCGGTCACAAGTGCATGTAATCAAATTTTTTGAAATTTCCTTTTCGGTCTGGGGATTTAGCTCAGTGGTTCGGTGGACTGTCAAAAAAAAAAAAAAAAAAAAAGAAAAGAAAAGAAAAGAATCCTTGATGAATTTTCCTTTTCTATCTGGGGACAACCGTATATGATTTCTTAGGATACTCAGTTACTTCAGAACTGAAGGATGAGAATGTGTTCCTGGGCGACACTATAAAATCTAATTATCAAATATGGACATGGCTGCGTTGAAGAAAAGTTAGGGTTTGAGTTAAATTCAGGGGAAAAGGAAGCTGGTTTCAGATTCTGGGAAGAACTTTTAAGGATAGCAACCTTTGTACTTCTCCCAGTACAGTTGATAATTCACTATTTCATTTTTTTTCAGCCCATTGGTAAACAAATGGGCATAAAGAATAGACCTTTGCTGCCAGCCATTGACTTGGAGAAAGAAAAGGAAGACGCTGCTTCCAGCTGTGTTCACTTTCTTTTTAACTGACAAATAGCCTGGACAGTGATATAATCTCCGTTTCTCCACGGAGAGTGTAATGTGCCTCTAGCATGCAGCTACTACTTTGGCATCACAGGGCTGTCTCCATCCTGTAAATGCCTTTCCTCATTAGAAAAGACATTTTCCAAGACATTTTATTGCCACATTTTGAAAAATGTCATAAATCAAATATACACAAGTCACAGTAGTCCCAGCTATTCTGGGAGACTGAGACAGGAGGATCTCTTGAGCCTTAGGAGTTCAAACCATTCTAAGCAATTTAGACCTTGTCTCAAAAAATAAATTAAAAATTACAGTGTGTCATTATGAATCCATTTGTTATGTCAGTTGCTTTTAATCCTTTATCAGACTCACTTGTATTTTTTTTTTTTTTGGTACTGGGGATCAAACTCAAGTCCTTGTGCTTTGGAGGCTGGCGGCAACACCACTGAGCTAAATCCTTGGCCCACTTGGACATTTTTTATAGATTCTTAGCATACCACAAAATTGCAAGTACATACTTGAATTTAACAAGACCCCCTGAAGATTCTGATAAACATAAGAATTTTAAAATGAATGTTGAGAGGATAGTCATGTACTCATTTGTTACCCTGTGAAGTGTCCTTCCTGGCTTCGTATGATCAGCAGTATTAGCTTTGCATGGGTACCTCCTTACGGGTTTATGGAAGCAGAATCCGTATTTTGACAAGGTTTTCAAGTGGTCTGTATGCAAGAATCTTGTGTTAACGACTATTTTTGAGAGTCAAAAATAGCAGGTAACAAGTCAGTACTGTGCGTAGGGTTACCTGTCTGGAAGGTTGAGTTTGAGGCACTGTGGGATTGGGTCTTTTAGAGAAGACAAATGCTGATCTCTAAATTTTGATAATCTAGAGAGAGCGAGCTCCTACTACTTTGCAAATATTCCTTCTTTGTCTTTCATCCCCTGCCATTACATGTGGATGTGGGTGCTGAACCACAGCTAGAGAAGAACTGAGTGGTTTGCCTTTGCCTCTGCACTTTTGCAAGTGGAGTGAAAAATAAAAATATTTGCCTATTTAAAAGAACGTGCATATACACTTGTATGTTATGTATGATGTGAAAGATACACATTCTCATGTTCTTTGTGTCTTTTGTCATCTCTAGTCTCCTGGGAATGACTTCCCCTCTGCCTTATTTGAGTGCTGCACTTTGTTTTTTCTTCCTAGTTTTCCCTTGCATCATTGTTGCAGTTCTTCCTGTTTTCTCAGATTTCTTTCAACCCAGTAAAAAGTCACAGCGCAGTCAGACAAAAGTCCTAACCCCTGCTTTGCCAGAATTGAAAATCCTACATCCCTAAATTGTAATATGGTGGTTCTCGTTTACTTCTATGAAACATTGATGGATTGTAGTTACATACCCGAAGCTTTATAGGTATTTCTAATTTCTAGATAATCTCACCCCTTTCCCCAGTTAGCATAATGACAGACCATTTTGAACCTATAGTTGCATTGGATACAGAACTTCAGTCTTCTTCAAGTAAGTTTTTCCAACACTCTTCAGTAGCTGTCCATGATTTGTGAGGCTTGGCAGAATAAAGCTGTGAGGAAGTTGATATGTAATGGTTAATAATGACTGTTTAAGAAAGACTGGAAGAATATCTATAAATTAATAGGTAATTGAGGGAAGAAGTCTGTCAGTCATAGCAGGTGTGAAGAAAGGCAGTTACACCTTTTATTTTTGACCACCTGAAATAAAAACCCCTGATTTAGTACGTTAATGAGCTTATTCTTTATTATTATTATTGCTGTGTTAATTATTAAGAACAGACTCTTTTTCTTCGACTTCTCAAATGTCTTATTGTGTTAGGGAGTTGTTAATTGGGGTAAACATTAGTTATAAAGCCAGGACATGAGCAGCGTTTATTTGGTCCTGTTTTAGGAGAAGTAATAATTCTGAACTTTAAAGAGTTCAGTTTTCTTGTTTCATAGTATCATTGAAATGGCCAGCTAAATTATTTTAAGGAAACAAAGTGGAGATTTATTTCTGTAGTAACAAAGTATCAAAACCCTGGGCAGTTTAAAACCGCAAAAATTTGTTCTAAAGGTTGGAATTCCAGGTGTCAGTAGGGAGGAGCTCTCCAGCGACTAGTATGTATGGCTGTGTTTGCAGGAAATCTTGATTCTTAGTTTGAGGCTGTATCACTGCAGTCACATGGCCTTTCCCTGTGTATCTTCACTGTGGTGTTCCTGTTGTATCTGTTTTTGTCCTTATTTATTTTTTGAAGTCCTTGGATTAGAGGCTTGCCCTAATCATCTCATTTTAACTTAATTAGTCCTTTAAAACCCCTATCTCTAAATAGGGTACATTCTGAGGTACTGGGATTAGGACTTTATGATATAAATTTTGAGAGGGCACGATTCAGCCTATAACAACAGAGTTTGTTTCTTTAGTTAAATGTATTCCTTGATACCTCTAAATATGACCTATTTCCAAATAAGGCTACTTCTGAGGTCCTTTTTACATTTTTTAAAGGCTGGAGGATTGAATGCAAAGCATTTTGCCTGTTGACCAGGTACTTTTCCACGGAGCTACACCTTCAGTCCACTGAGGTGCTCTAGGTTAAGACTTCAACATACCCCTTTAAAAATATGGGCAAGTTACAAGATAATTTGACCTGGAACTCACTATGTAGCCCAGGCTGGTCTCCAACTCACAGCAATCCTCCTGCCTCATCCTCCTGAGTGCTGGGATTACAGGCCTGTGCTACCATGCCCGGCCCATTCTAGACATCCTCTTGATAAGACTTAATAATTTTTGCAGAAAGGTAGGAGAACTTCAGGCAAGTGGAATGTTGCTATAGCATAAACAACAGTAATAATTATTCCTTGCTTGATGTCTTTTTCAGCTCGATTTTTTAAAAAAAATCAGTGCTTTAGAAAGATAAAAAATATTTGACTTAATGACTTTATGAACACAAGGTCTTAAAACATCTTAATTTCAAAATTTACCTTTTCCCTTTCTTACAGTGGATTCATTGTTTATCAAAATAAATAAAATTTGCCGGGCATGGTGGCACATGCCTGTAATCCCAGCACTCGGGAGGCTGAGGCAGGAGGATCACTGTGAGTTCAAGACAAACCTGGGCTACATAGTGAGTTCCAGTTCAGTCGTGAGACCCTGTCTCAAAAAAACTAACTAAATAAATAAAATGTGAGAAGTTCAAACTATTTTAGAGTTTTTCTGGCTAGGTCATGAGGTCACAGCAGCTTGATACACCTTTCAGTGGTTCACAGAGTAGCTAATGTGCAATGGCTTTTACAATTTATTGGGGTCCGGAGAGGATGCTAACATCAGAGACCATAATTAAGAATGTTTCAGGATCACTAATTTGCAGTGCTGTGAATTTTATTGTAATAGTTTGGCTTGGATGTTTGGGTAACTAGAGATACAGAAAGGATTAAATTTTGAGAGAAGCACTTCAGTACATTTTTCTTTTTTTTTTTTTCTAGTTGGAAAATGGATATACCTTATTTGACTACGATGTTGGGCTGAATGATATAATTCAGTTACTAGTTCGTCCAGATCCTGATCTTCCTAGCACATCTAAACAGACTGATGTACAGACCAAACCCTTTTCTAATAGTCCACCTAAAGTAAAGAAAACCGCAAGGGTGGGGTCTACAAGTCAGCCGTCTACATCAGCTCGTGCTTGCCTCATTGATCCTGGCTTTGGACTTTATAAGGTATGTTGTTTTTGTTTGTTAAAATACAGATGTCTGTTCACTTCTGGATGTTGTGAATAATTAAACTTTGTCATTTGAAAATAAAGATTAGGATGTTTAACTTTTAAAAGTCCTCTTTAAAACTCTTTGAACTATATAAAAGTATGTATAAAATGTATATATACAGTTTAAGAATAACAAACACCTGTATAACTGGAACAAAATTAACAGTGCTATTTATGTGTATTCTGGTACCCATGTTCAAGAATTTTTCTAGAAATTTCTCCCCAGGAATACTAGTGGTGGTTGTCCACTCATAGGATACTGCCAAATTTAACTGCTCTTTATGTTGTTCCAGTGGTCTGTTTATCCCTGAGTCCGTATTGTTCTAAGTACTGTAGACTTACATATGTTTCTGATATCTTCCATATCCCAAATTTCATTCTTCCTCAAGGGCATCCTGGTTTCTTGGCAGCTCGGAGAAGTGATGTCTTTACGGTGTTGAGTCTTTTAATTCATGAACATGATAAACCACTGCGTTAATTTAAATCTTTGCTATCTTAATGAGTGCTTAATATACCTTGCTTGGTTTACTTCTGGTAGCTTTGTTTCTGATCCTGTTATAAAAGGTCATCTTTAAAGATAATTTATTTGCTGATACACAGAACATGACTCAAAGGCTTTGTATCTAGCAACTATTTCAAATCCTACTTTAAGAAATTGAATGGCAATTATGCTTTATTTTTTAGTCTTTATATTTTGAGAGAGGGTCTTGGTATGTAGATCTGGCTGAGTTTGAACTCACTATGAATCTCAGACAGGCCTTGAACTCACAGTAATTCTCCTGGCTTAACCTCGAGAGTGGTGGGATTCTAGGCATGTACCACCATGCCCGGAGTTTTGATGTCTTTATAATACGTTATTTTTATCGGGATAAATTGGCACCTGGACTCAATTTTTCTAAGCATTTTCAAGATTAAAAAATTGGTAGGTAAAATAAATTAAGAAAATGCAAATAGAGATACATTAATTGTGAATTTGTGGAAAATACAAACATCCATATGAATGGAAGAATTCTAGAAAACTAACAAGCTTTATCTCAAAAACAAAACTACATTAATGAATTGTTTAAATCTGTAAAGGAATAATTTTGATGTTACCTAAGTTGACCTGCAGCATAAAGAAGGAAGGATAGCTTCATGCTTTTTAAATTTAGTTTAACACTGATACTAAAACTAGAGAAGCACATGAGCATCACTTACATTGATGAAAACCCAAGTTATAGTGAATAGGATTATGACTGAATGTTAAAATTAATCCCTTTACCATATATGGTTTGTCAGAAAGTGGAGTTAGGAGCCAGGGATTAAGCTCAGTGACATCGCCAGCTATCTCAAAGCCCTAAGTTCAAACCCAGGTAATACATACATACACACATACAAAGGAGTTAGTTCATTTTTAGGGAATGTTTTAGTACGATTCATTGTTTTAATAAAGAACTGCCTGATTTAAAAATTTTTTTTTTCATCTAAACACAAATTTGATTTCATTTTTGGGATAAAAATATATCCCTGGTAAGAGGAACAGATAAAATTGATGAACAGATTAAACGATGCTTGGCATCATAGGAAAAATGAAAAATGAAGCATTGCCATTGAACACAAGAGCCAGTCAGAGAGCCAGTTAATGCTGCTATTATTTGACATCTTTTTGGAAGAGAAGGCAAAATAACTTATGGATAACTGGGAAAGCTGGGAAAATATTTTAGAACGTTATGGACAGTTTAAGTAGTCATTTCAAAACTAATATTTTCATAATGGTTTTCTTGCTACAGTCAGTAGTAGAGAAAATTTATAACAGAGAAGACAAACTAGTAGTGGTGAACCTATGGTACACATGTTTTTTGTTTTTGTTTTTGAGACAAAAGATTGTATGAGTATTTTTCTATTCAGCTTTAATTGCAGTGTTGGCTTTTTTGCAGGGGGCATTTAGTGATAAGTTGTTTTGGGGTTGCAGTGTGGGCGCTTGTGTTTAAAAGGTTCACCATTACTGAACTAGAACAGTACTTCATGCGGTGTGCTCTCCCTCCTCTCCTTCCTCTCTCCCTCCTCACTGTGCCAAGTGCTGTTCAGTCCTGGGGGTACGATGATGAAGAGCTGTGATCCTTTCCTTTGTGGAATTTCCACAAGGACCATGTCTTACTGTTTTGTTTAAAGCACTGTAAGCCAGCTTGCCATTTTGTCTATGTTACCTATTCATTTCATATCTCTTAGGGATACCTGTACTGGTCTGTTTCTTTTTTCTTGTTAATATAATACCACACACACAAAAATATAATGCCACAGGTGGGGATAAGTTATAAGGAAAAGAGGTATATTTTGGCTCACTTCTGGTCAAAGGGTGAGGGGATTACATCTGGTGATGACCTTTTTCCCCACCAATCCCAAGATGGCATGGGACAAGGGACAGGCAGTGTGTGATCTTTTTCTTTTTATAGTGAGCATACACATTTACTGCTATACTAGGCATTGAACCCAGGGCTTTGCACATGCTAAACAAATGCTCTTTTTATTTCTTTTGAAATAGTCTCACTAAATTGCCTAGGCTGGCCTTGAAATTACAGTCCTGCCTCTGCCTCTGCCTCTGAGTAGCTGGTATTACAGGTGTGCATCTCCACACTTGGCTCTACCTGCATCCATTGTTTTTATTATTTATTTTTTTATTTATTTTTGGTGCCCTGGATTGAACTTGGATCTTGGATTTGCTAGGCAGGCTCAGCGCTGCTGAGCTACATCCCCAGCCCTCACTGTGCTATCGCATCTGCCCTATTTTTTTTTTGCCCTAGAAGTGCAATCTAGTTGTGTTGTCCAGGCTGGGCTTGAGCATTCCTCCTGCCTTAGCCTCTTGAGTAGCTGGAACTACAAGTGCATTATACCTGTCTAAATTTCTTTTTTGTTGTTGTTGTTTATTGAGACAGGGTCTCACTGTGTATTGAGACTGACCTGGAACTCAACTTTGTAGCCCAGGCTGGTCTGGACTCACAGCAATCCTCCTGCCTCAGCCTCCCAAGTGCTAGGGTTACAGGTATGCGCCACCACACCTGGCTTATACCTAAGTTTCTACATTCTTAGTATGTCGCAATGCAAAGTAAACACAAACTTCAGAGGTTACAGACCATACTCAAATCATATGTAATGTTACCAGTACTCTACATTTTTTTCCAGTTACTTTTAAAATTTATTTTAGAATGTTTATAGATTTATAGCAGAATTGGGGAAATGGTAGAGTTTGTATGTATCCCACACTCATTCTCCTATTTACACCTTATATTAGTATGATAACGTCTGTTGTAACTAATGAACCATATTTTGTTAGCTTTTACTTAGTCTTTTTTCCTATCCCAGAAGTCTCACCTAGGATATCATAGTAGGATTTGTCATATCTCCTTAAGTTCCTCTTGGCTTGTTTTTATTTCATGGAATTTTTGAGAACTGGTAAGGTATTTTAAAAGGTTTTTCCCTGTTAGGATTTAACTGTCATTTTCATCTTCATTAGATGAATTTATCTGTTTTGGGGAGGAAGATTACAAAGGTGAAGTGCTATTTTCACCGTGTCACATTTAGGGCAGGTGCTATCCACATCCTGTTTGCCAAATATAACCGCTGTCAGTAGGAACTGAATGTTGCTAACACTTGTGAACCGCAGTCACCTGGCTGAGTAGTGCTCAAGTTTCTACGCAGTTAACCCCTCTCCCGTGCCCTGTACTGTGCTCTTTGAGGGGAAGATAGCTGTGTGTAGTCCACATTTAAGGAGTAGAAAGTTATGTATTCACTGATTTGAGGGCAAAGTTTCCACAGCAAATTTGAATTATTTTTATCAAAATAAGTTGATGTTGCAGTTTTGGCCTTTGGAAGCTTTTATACTTGATTCTTATGTCCCTTCAACATGCCCCTGTTATTGTTGTTGCCAACCCCCCACACATTTTTTTCATTGTTTTGTTAGCTTGCTTGCTTGCTTTTTTTTTGGTGCCAGGGATTGGACTTGGGTCCTTGCACTTCGGAGGCAGGCAACGAACTTGCTTGCTTGCTTTTGAGTCAGGGTTGCATTGTGTACTCTGGTCTGGCCTTGAACTCACTAGCTCTGGCTGGCCTCATTACTGATCCTCCTGGCTCTGCCTCCCAAGTATTGGGATTACAGGAGTGTGCTGCAACTCCCATCTTACCCCTCTTTGGCAATACTGGGGATTTGAACCCAGGGCCTTTGCACTGGGCTGCATTTCCCAGCCCTTTGTTACTTTGAGACAGTCACTAAGTTGCCTGGGTTGGGTTTGAACTTGTGATCCTCCTACTTCAGGCTCAGCTGGGTGCCATGGGGCAAGCCTTTTATCTCAATAGCTCAGAGAGGCTGAGGCAGGAGAGGATTACTAGTTTGGGGCCATCATAGCCACCAGTTTAGCAAGTAGCAAGACTTTGTCTCAAAATAAAAAGAGCTGCAAATGTAGCTCAGTACAAAGGCCCTAGATTGAATTCCAAGTACCACCAAAAAGAGAGAGAAAGAAGCTTATATCTTATATATTTCCTGTCTTAGTCCCATAATGAACCATTTGTCTAGGGTGGCCTGGTATTTTTATTTGGAGAATAATATTAGAAACTGAGACTGGGCCAGGGATTTTGGGTCAGTGGTTCCACCACCTGCCTCGCAAGTGCAAGGGTCTGAGTTTGATCCCCATTACAAAAAAAAAAGGAAGAAACTGAGATCTGGGCTGTGGGTGTATTTCTTTCTTTCTTTTTTTTTTTGGTTTTTTGAGACAGGATCTAACTATGTATTTGAGACTGACCTGGAACTCACTATGTAGCCCAGGCTGGTCTCGAATTCACAGCAATCCTCCTGCCTCAGCATCCTGAGTGCTGGGATTACAGACATGCGCCACCACGCCCTGCTGTGGGTGTATTTCTTGCTGCTTGTTTCTAGGGTGTCAAGGGTCTTCAGCAGGGAAATCTGTCTATATATACTAACCTAGC